TATTTCTATTTAAAGGCACCTAAAAGTTTTACAGTAAAGTTACATGTCCTTCAATTACATGTCATTCAGGAAGCAAGCAAACAAACAATCAAAACAAAACAACAACAAAAAACAAAATAACAAACACACACACACACAGGTTTACTTACCTGTCTAAATGGGGACATTACATAGACTTTGATTGTTTTTATATACAGATAGTTATACACTTTTTAACCTAAACCCACCCCTACCCCTAACCCTACCCCTCACAGAAAAACCTTCTGCATTTTCACAATTTAAAAAAAACTTGGTTTACTTTATTTTTATACCAGTTTTACAAATGAGGAGGTCCCCAAATGGAGGTTTTTGGCGATTTTGTCAGGGTTTGCTCACGTTTGGGTACAAATTTGTCCCCAAAATATGGTTAAGTAGGTACACACACACACACACACAAACAAACACTTACAAACAGCTTTTTTTAAGTTAGTGGGCTAAGCTGTTTTAACATGATCTGACCAGCTAAAAAGTTCCCAAAACCTCTCTAAAACCATCCAATGCCAGATCAGTATATTACGTATATTTAAAAAAAAAATCGCTATATAATTAATTTATCTATTTATTTATTTTAAAATGTTTATCAGAGGAAATTATAAAAATATGCAAACAAAAGTTTTCTATAACTAGCATGAACATGATTTGTTACATATTTAGAACATAAAGTTCTAAAACAGAACAAAAGAAGAAAAAAGAGTGTGTAAGTAGGCTACTTTATGACATTTACATTCATGACATAAGGCCATTTAAATAGATAAAGTAGAAATTATGGCAAACCATGGTAAGTTTTAAAGTTACAGGACTACTACATTTAGCTCTTGCTAATGGTTGCCCACTGCAACAAGAAAAATCGTTTTTAATGGCTTGAGGTGGAGAAGCCCAATAACGGGCTCTGATGCTGCGCTGTTCCGCCTCTCTCGCTGCCATCACTAAGCCGAGTCGTGTTATGATGACAACAAGAATATTCAGCCGCGGGACGGAAAATATCTGAGTCTTAAACCCTGCCTTTTTTGTTTATTTTCACGCGATAGCTCGATTAGCTTATTGCCAGCGCATTCCCGGTCCTCCTCCTCCAGCTCCCAGTGTGCCGCTTACCGACTGCCGCAGCCTGACAACCGCTACACAGTCTCCGGCAAGATGCTACTACCACACTCCGGTCTGCTTATCGACGTTCTCTGGATTGTCATCTTCAGTCCTGCTGGTGTGAAATGTCTGAACGGCGAAAAAGATCAGTCTCAAGACATGGAGTGCAAAATGAAAAGCGTTACGGTATCCGCTTTGCCGTTTTTGCGAGAGAACGACCTAAGCATCATGCACAGCCCGTCGGCCTCCGAGCCCAAGCTGCTTTTCTCCGTCAGGAACGATTTTCCGGGCGAGATAGTCGTCATTGACGACTTGGAAAATACTGAGCTCCCGTACTTTGTATTGGGTGAGTGCTGTTATTTATCATCAGTTTATCTTCTTATTAAAGAAAATAGTATACTTGATTGTTACAGCTATTGTGATTATTAATAGAAATATCAATCGCAGGCCTAGTCCAGAAACTCAAATAGGTTCTAGTATGTTTTTTTGTCCGGAACAATAGTCGTAAGCTGCAGATATGTGTTATTTAAGCTACAGGAAGCATGATGCTCGTTTGGCAGGGTGGTACAGACAGATGTTTTTATGATGAATACGTGACATATACAGCTGTGATCCCATAGAGACAAAGTGGTCACTGGGTTACAGTCTTGTGAGAATCTCATGTGTAAACTTGTGAGAACTTTGTGCCACAGCTTCACCTGTTTTGAACTCTGAGGAAAACAGACCAAGCAAACAACCACAACAAAGTGGTTTGATGTAGTTCCTGAAAGATAGATAGATAGACAGACACAGACAGACAGATAGATACATAAATAAAAACAAAGTTCATAAACGTTGATGTAATATTCCATAATATCTGCTGCAAATAGTAGTTTAGAAATACAACTTATTGCTGAACTGTGCTACTTCATGTTACTGTAAGCACAACGTGTGCATTCAGGCGCAACAAAAAAAATTGGATTTTGATTTGTTTTTGTGCATACATTTATTCTGGTATTACATGTTCAAATGAATTATTATGTCATCCTCCATGCTTTCATTTTAAACAGTTAAAAAAGATAAACATTTAAGATTAACAGTTTAAAAAAGATAAACATTTAAGATTAACAGTTTAAAAAAGATAAACATTTAAGTAAGCTTTTAATTTAAAAGAGCAACTAAATAGGAAACAACTATAAAAATGCATATAGCTCTCTCTCTCTCTCTCTCTCTCTCTCTCTCTCTCTCTCTCTCTCTCTCTCTCTCCATGTGGTGTGTGTCTGTGTGCCAAATGGTTTCAAATGTAAATTGTTTGATTTTGTGAAGTTTTGTAGGTCCAGTAGATGTATACCAGAAAGTGGTACAACCAACCTTGTCTGTTATTTTTAAAGGGGTCATCGGATGCCCATTTTCCACAAGCTGATATGATTCTGTAGGGTCTTAATGAAAATTCTGTAACATAGGTTAAAATTTCTCAATGGTAGTGTAAAACAACACCACTTTTACCCTGTCAAAAACAGCTCTTTTCAGAGCAAGCTGTTTTCTTGCAGGCTGCTTTAAATGCAAATGAGCTCTGCTGACCCCGCCCCTCTCTTCCGAGCCGCTCTCTGAGAGATGGTAAACTTTAGCCGCATTCATCGTGAAACTTGCTAACTAGCACGTTATTAGGAAGGGTGATTTGTAAAGATTCATTAAAAAACCTTACACTCACTTCTGGAAGATTCGTGCAAAGATAGACGCATTTAGGCAGATCGGGGGGGTGCATTCCCTTTAAAAACAAATGTAATCCACTGTGTCTTCAGCGGCTCAGATGTCGGGAGTAAATGATGACTGCTATGTTCATTATTACATCCAACAACAGAACACCTCAATCGCATAGGAGACATTCTTGTCTACATCTACTCCAGCGGTGAAACAATGGATATATATATAATATATAATCTTTTCACTCTCTGAGCTTATAATGTAGCCTATACATAATATGTATTATTATATATTCACTTTTATTCATCCTCAGACCTCCCAATCTCTTAATCTACCCAGTTCTGTCATGTTTTTAAATAATAAACAACCAAAACTCTTAAGTATTTGCTTTTAATTGGTTTAAATGTAGTTTAAAAAGCTGAATACTGTGAAAATTTGTCACAAGCAGCTAGTTTGTATGAAGCGACCCACTGACTGCTGTCCATGGTGCTGAAAACTACATGCACGTCTGCCACTCACTCTGAGGTGCAAAAAGAAGCAACTTAGGAGTGGACAGTTGTATAAGTCATTGCCAGCCAATCAGATATGTATTGTGAAGTATTTGTGGCTGTCATAGAAGATGTGCTGGGGTTGACTGTTTTTTTCACACTGCCGTAGCATTGTCAAGGATGTCATTTTGTTTCTCACTTTATGCATGTCTGGTGAGAGATGTTAGACAGGAAGTAAACATGGTGAAAAAGCAAATCTTTTTAGAGTCTTCTCTTAATTGTGTCCTTAAAAGTGATGTAAGCATTTTTTATCGTCTTTTTATTTTCTTGAGAGAAAAACATAAACACTGTCCTAAGTTTTAGTGGTTGCTACATCCTTTTTTTGTCTCCAGATATACATAAAAATAAAAATATACATACATAATACATAATCTAGTTTCAATATTTATTGCACTTAATGTATAATTAATTCATGGTTTAATTTATGCTTAAATAGTCTAAACATTTTTAAAAAGGTTACAACTGGGAATAGCACACAGTTTGATCCGCATATATACATATTTGAATGCATGAAGACCTGCATATTTATAACTAGAAATCCTTAGAGTCTAAAAAATAATGTCAGCATGCAGAGCTAACTAGGATTTCGGTTTGTTAACAATGTTCAGATGTGACTGCATTTTTCAAATAAGCTCAGTGCTTTGGAATACATAAAACACTCAAACATAGAATGTGCCAGCTCTGCAGAAAGCTGCTGGCCTTTAAATAGGCCAAAATATAATTTTGTAGGTATATGCAAACTGGGATTTTTTTTTTTTTTTTTACTTTATTGGAACTTTTTGTTGTGAATATATTGGATTTAATGTTTAATACCAGTTTCAAGTTTCAATTTCACTTTCATCTTTGCCAAAGTCAACATTCATATTCTAACATATTGAGTCCCAGGATACATAGAAGTAGGAATGAATAAGAAATATTTAGAGAAATAAGCTATTTCCAGTATGATCAAAACTTGCTAGAGTGATTTGTTTCTGACAAACAACCTGTTTGCAAACTATAATATATTCCTTCTGCCGTCCCTTTAGCTTTAATAATTCACAATGGACTCAGTGCTTTTTAATTTCTTTTAGACACACTGCACCTTGCCTTACTTCATAAATCTCATTCTTGCTAGATCATCTCCTCTGTTCCTTCAGCCTCTGCCTCCCACTATGGCTCTTTGTTTGCATACGATTGATTGGAATGATCATGGGGAGTAATTTCAAGTCAGTGTTATAAATGTTGCCTAAGGTGTTTGCACGTCCCTCCCTTCGCTCTGTGGTCTTGTTTCCTGATTATAAATGCAGTCTTTACAGAGTCCGCAAACACTGGTCTTTGAACAAGCTATTTTTAATTGGATACATTAGGGTAATTGGTACAGTCTACAAATGCATTCACAAACACACACACACACACTCGCACAAACATTTATTTGAGGTAGATATATATGAGAACACACCAAAGACTTCTGTTGCTTTTAATAACTTCCAGGGGCAGGCGATAGGTGGGCGAGTGTGGGCGATGCCCACCCAAAAGGGAGCATCTCTGAAATTAAAGTTTTAGTTTTAGATTGGCTTTCATTTTTGGCTTTTCACACTTTTCTTTAATTGACTATTGGCTAAGTGTCAAATATAGAAGAGGCTTTGTTGAGAGTCTTTTCATTCAGATGAGTGTAGGCAGTCCATAGGTTTGTTTTAAAACCTACCGACGGTCTGTAATTTGAATACCAATCTAGGTAGAAATGTTTGTTTATTAATTTTCTTTAGCTGACTTCTGTTTTGTTGTAGTATTGGGAAGTAGGATATAATAGATAAAGAAATAATGCATGGCTGCAGCTGATTTGTGTTAAACCTCAAACTTTAAAACACAATTGTAATGTATATTTTGTTATATTATATATAATATAAAGTTATATTATTATTTCTAAAGGTTTTGATACAAACACACACACACACATACACACACACACACACACACAAACACACACACACACACACACACACACACACACACACACACACACACACACACACACACACACACACACACACAC